TGTGTGGGGGGTGGGGGGAAGGGCTTGTTCTCACTTTGTAAGTTGGAATCTAAGGCTCTGGTGCTGACATTCATGTACGCAGATTTATTTATTTATTTATTTTATTTCTTCACATTTATAGCCCACCCTTCCCGCAAGTGGGTTCAGGATGGGTAACAGCATTTTGTAAATACAATAAAAATAACATTTAATCAATATAATAAATAATTAAAATATTAAGAAACTGTCATACATTAAAATAGTGGTCACAGCCCTACAGTAGAAAAATTAATGGTTGCGAGCAGTGTTCCCTCTAAGCTGAGTTAGTGTGAGCTAGCTCACAGTTTTTTAGCCTCCAGCTCACACATTTCTGTCTTAGCTCAGGAAGGATGGCTCCAGAGCAAACTGATTTATGCAGGAGCCAAATCACTCGCTCACAACTTTAATGCCTTAAAAAGTAGAATTTTTGCTCACAAGACTCCACAGCTTAGAGGAAACATTGGTTGCAAGAGGTCTTGGCCCATAGTAAGATATAAATAATGGCCAGCAGCTGTTAATGGGTGACAAGAACCTCAGGAAGGCCATACATTGGACGTCCGCTGCCTCAGTCAAAGGTCTGACGGAACAGCTCCGTCTTACAGGTCCTGTGGAATTGAAGAAGATCCCACAGCGCCCTGATCTCAATGGGGAGCATGTTCCACCAGGCAGGGGCCAGGGCAAAAAAAGCCCTGGCCCTGGTCAACGCAAGATGGACATCTTTCAGACCAGGGACCACCAGGAGATGTTGATCCATGGAGCTTAATGCTCTTTGGGGCATGTACGGGGAGAGGCGATCCCTCAGGTATGTTGGTCCCAGGCCGTGTAAGGCTTTAAAAGTTATTACCAACACCTTGAAGCGGATCTGGAACTCAACTGGTAACCAATGCAATTGGCGGAGCACCTGCCAAACATAAGCCCGCATAGGCGTCGCCATTAACAGGCATGCCGCCGTATTTTGCACCAGCTGGACAATGCAGTCCATGCCTCCAGGCAATCTGGGCAAGAGGGTGCATATAGATGTTAAAAAGCATCAGAGACAGCACCGCCCCTAAAGACACTCCATATTCCAATGGGTGCCTTCGGGACAGCTGATCCCCCAGCGCCACTCTTTGTCCCCAGTCTTGGAGAAAGGATGCAAGCCATTGCAAGGCTAGTCCCTGGACTCCAATGTCAGCAAGGCGGTGGATCAGTAGCTGATGGTTGACCATGTTGAACACAGCCAACAGGTCTAACAACAACAGCACTGCTGATCCGACCCGATCCAGATGCCTCCGAAGGTCGTCTGTGAGGGCGACCAGTGCCGTCTCCGTCCTGTGACCCGGGCGAAAACCGGACTGGAAGGGATCTAAAATGGAAGCGTCATCCAGAAAGCCCTGTAACTGCATTGCCACTGCCCTCTCTATTATCTTGCCCAAATAGGGCAAGTTGGAAACCAGCTGATAGTTGGCCAATTCGGCTGGATCCAGAGATGGCTTTTTCAGGAGGGGGCGCACCACTGCTTCCTTAAGTGCTTCCAGGAACAGCCCCTCAGAGAGGGACTTATTGATGATCTCCCAAAAGGCACCTTGGAATCCTTCGTGGCCAGCTTTAATTAGCCACGAAGGACACGGGTCAAGGGAGCATGTGGTAGAGCGTACAGTTAAGAGCAATTTGTCAACTTCCTCTAGGCTGAGCGGGCTGAAATAATCCATAATGTCACTAGAAGATGTGCTTGGAGCCTGGAGTTCGTTCACTGTTTCAACTGTAGCGCGGAGGTCGTGGCGGAGCGACAAAACTTTATCCACAAAATAGCTCGCAAAAGCCTCACAGCCAATATCCAATTCCTTACAGTTTTGCCTATCTTGAGATAGAACAGTAATAGACCGAAACGTTCTAAACAATTGCACTGGGCGTGAGCTTGCGGACACAATCGTGGCTGTATAATACTGTCTTTTAGCGGCCTTGACTGCCATCTGATAGGAGGAGCAATAGTGACAGAGGACAAAGGTGTCTGCAGAAATAATTTAAGGGGAAGCAGGATCACTCTAGACCTCTTGCTGATGAGTTGGAGGTATTATATGTCAGGATACATTTTTTAAAAAGGTAATATTGGGAGGCAAGTGTCCCCTACTGTACCACATCAACACTCATGGTGGAAACAAGCTGGCTGTTGATTTAAAAAACAAAACAAAACTGACTTCTGAACCTTCTTTGCTCTCATTTATTTTAACTAAAGACACAGTGGAAAGAGGACTGCACTCGCTGGGATAAAGCTTTTTTCCCCTTCTGATTGGCACAGAGAAAATGAATGCATTGAGACAGGAAAACTGTTTTGGGCTGAAGGGTGGGATTTAAATGGGATACATTCAGTGAAGTAATTGGAAGCAGGGCTCTAGTCGGGGGGGAGCTCTCAGGTA